GGGGGGCACTTGGGATTGTGGCACCTGGGCACACCAGACCCTGTGACTGGATGCAGACTGGGGGCCAGTGACCTGTCCTGGCATGTAGGACTTCTCAGGGAGCATTAACTGGTAAGCTCTTTTTGGGCACCTGAGCCAAGAGCAGCAGGAGGATTAGGGGCTGGCTGCTGGTTCATTACGAGCTGTTGGGCTCCCCAGGCTTATCCTCAGCGTGTGGATTTGGGCTGACAGCTCCTCTTGTTTTCCAGCTGGGATGGGATGTCCCTGCTGACAGGCAGCAGTCCTCCCTGGGGACTTTTTGACTGTCCCTCTCATTCCTCTCTAACTCCACAGGCTGGTGATGAGACCTGGGATCACACCAACCTGAACAGTCACTCCCGGCTTCTTTCCACCCTGGGTCCTGAAGCCACAGCTTTTTTAGGGCTCCTCTTCTCTCCTGTGAAGGGGAAGGACACACAGGCACTTTGGTAACCAGGGAGAGTTCTCTGAGCTCTGTAATTTTGCACCTTTTGCTCTGCTGTGAAGGTGACACTGCAGCACCTGAGACATGAGCTGTGGAGATGGCCCAGCCACACCTACAAGCCCCCTTCCCAGCTACTCTGGTGCAGCTGATTCAGCTGGACACATTAATTTATTCCTCAGCCTGGTGTTTGTTCCCTCAGAGGGTCTCACAGTGATGATTCTCTCTCTGTTTGTGACAGGTCCAGGCGGATGGGACAGATGGAAACTGCGTCACGTTTGTGCTGCACGATGAGGACCACACGCTCGGCAACTCCCTGCGATACATGGTCATGAAGAAGTAAGTGGAGCCTCTGTGGTGCCTGGTATTGCTGGGGGTACCTCTGTCTCCTCCTCTGGCCTTCTTCTTACTGATCTACATCAGAAACTCCCTCTGTGTGTGCACGTTAGGGTCTTTATATCAGACAGAATTCCAAAGACTCCTTATCTACTGCCTCTCCTCACAGGATTGAGGGGAGATGGAGCTGAGATGTGAGGAAGGAATTCTTTGGTGTGAGGGTGGTGAGCCAGTGTCCCAGGTTGGGCAGAGAAGCTGTGGCTGCTCCTCCCTGGAAGTGTTGAAGGCCAGGTTGGATGAGGCTTTGAGCAACCTGGTCTAGTGGAAGGTGTCCCTGCTGCTGGCAGGGGGGTTGGGACTGGATGAGCTTGAAGGTCCCTTCCAACCCAAACCAGTCTGGGATTCTGTGATTAACTTTTTCCTTGTGCTGTGTCAGGACCCTGAGAGCACTAATAGGCCTCAATGGGCCTGACCAGCCACACCTGGGGTCTCCACCCCCTGGGGTCTCCACCCTCACCATGCCCATGGACCTAGGAGCCCCATTTAAGCTCAGCTCAGGACTTGCAGTCCCTCCTGAGCTATGTTGTGGGAGTCTGGATCTCCAGCTCAGCCTGTCCTGGGCTGTGGACTCCATTCACCTGGACTGACTTTCTGACCTGGCATCAGCCCTTCCTTATCATTGCACACCTGCTTGGTGGTCACTGATGTTCAGGACCCTTGGCTGACCCTGGCTACCACCTTTGCACCCACCCTATTCCCTCACTGGGGTGCTGTGGGACATGACCAGCTAGTGAGGCCTCTGCCCTGTCCACTGACTTATTATCCATGGCTCCCAGCTCCCTATCTGGTGGGGAACAGCCGACCCTCACTGCTCTCTGATGGTTGGTTATGGAGGAAATTTAATGTCTGATGTGTGAAAGGCTTCTCAATGTCTTATCTGGCCCTGGGTAAAATGATGCACAACTCCATGTGGGTACACATGGTCAGGTCCCTTCTGGGACAAGCCCTCTCAGAAAAGAGGGTAGGAACAGCCAGTATAAAGCACATTGATCATCTTTCATGCTTGCAGGAACTGATGCTGGAAATTAATGATCCTGCTGCTCCCATCAACATATACAGATAGGTTCACCCTGGTTGCCTGGTTTTATTTATTTTTTATTTAATTTATTTTGAACTGGGCAGCACTGAGGCTTTGTGAAGATCTGCTGGTAAGCCTCAGAAGAATTCCAGCAGGAACTTCAATGCACCATCTCAAATGACAGTTGCTTTGCAAGTGTCATGTGAATTCCTCTGATAAAATCCCCACAGCAGGGGCTGTTCTTTCTGCTGGGTGCACAAACATTCTACCAACCACCTCAGCTTATCAAGGCAGATGCTGTGCATCCTGCAAACCATCTCAGCAAATCCTTGCAGTGCCCTACACCCACCAGCCTCTTTGTGCCCAGCAGAACTGCCACAGGTTTGTGTCCAGTGAGGTTTCCAAGCATCCAGGATCTCCTATCTGAACTCTGCAGGTCTGCCACTGGACTCTGGTGGTGCCAGGATGGTGCCTATGGTCGTGCCAGCCATGTTCTACCCCTGCAAAGCTCCAGCTGCAGCTCAGAGATTGATGGGGCATGTGAATTAGCTCACACAGGTGGTTTCCCTTCAGTATATTCCTCCCATAAGACCACCAGTCATTTTAGAGACATCCTGAGCCCCAGCAGGTCTGGGGTGTCCTGAGCTTCTCACTTTCCCAAGATTTCCTGTGGATTGGCCTGGGTTTCACGTCTCTCTTCTCTTCTCTCCCCTCCCGCAGCCCTGATGTGGAATTCTGTGGCTACTGCATCACACACCCCTCTGAAAGCAAGATCAACTTCCGGATCCAGACCAGAGGTACGGCTCTGCCCCTTTCCTTCCTGTCCAGGGCTGTTCTTCTGGGCAGTTCCCCCTGCTCCTGTCAGGTTTCCACTGTGAGTCCTTTAAATGGGCAGCAGGGTGGCTGTGAGTCAGCAGTGTGTCCTGTGGCCAGGAAGGCCAACAGTGTCCTGGGGGGCATTAAAAAGAGTGTGACCAGCAGGTTGAGGGAGGTTCTCCTCCCCCTCTACTCTGCCCTGGTGAGGCCACATCTGGAGTGTTGTGTCCAGTTCTGGGCTCCCCAGTTCCAGAGGGACAGGGAACTTCTGGAGAGAGTCCAGG